ACGTTGGGCGTGCGCCACTGCGCGCGCCTGTCACTGAGGCCCCTCCCCGAAAGGCAAGTCTTAGCCACATGAAACCCGAGACCCCTCCCCACCACCCCAATCCCCCCACCCCCTTGCTCCCCTCCCCCCCTCGGGAGGGCCGAACTGAGGCGCCCGAGGGGACCCCGCAATTCCCTTCCTCCCTCGGAGGGCCGGACTGAGGCGTCGAGGGCCCCACTCTTTCCTTCGCATAGCGGCCACTCTTCGGATCGCTGGTCGAGCGACCCGGGGGATGCCCCGCGCGCCTGACCCAGGCGCGGAAACGAATCTGCGAGGCGTGGCCGCTCATGCGGCCCGATGGGGAGGAGGGGAAGACGTAGGGCGTGCTTGCGCGCCTTTCCGAGGCCCCTCCAACCCACCCGCGCTAGGTCTCGGGTTTGACGCATGGGGTCACACCCGCGAAACCCGTGAACTAGCCGGGGCAGTCGGAGAAGGGGCAACTCCGTGCACTGACGGTCGGCCGTCAGAAAACACGCCTCCGTGGCTCGGGTTACACCAATCCTCGCTACCCAACGCGGCCAAAGGATATCCACCTCGAGAACCTCGAGAGAGAGGTGTGAACAAATAAATGCAGGCGATTTGCGAGACCGAGAGCACCGCCGGCGAGCCGACGCCGGCTGCGCCCGCCGCGGAGCCTCCGCCCGCCGCAGCGCACGGCAGTATGCAAGAGCAGAGCGGCGACGGCGACACCGAACCGGCGGCGCCCGTGGTTGGCGCGCTCGAGGATTTCCAGCGCCTCCGCGTTCTCCTCGTCGAGGACGAGGACTTTTCGGCGCGTGTGATGCAGGTCTTTTGCGCAAAGTGCGACTACACGGTGCAGACGGTGCGCTCGTCCGAGGAGGCGCTCGAGCAGCTCGCCGCCGACAAGGAGCGGCCGGCCGCCGAGCGGTTCAACCTCATCCTCCTCGACATCGTGATGAAGGGGATGTCGGGCAAGGAGCTGCTGCGGCGGCTGCACGAGCTGCAGGGGCCGGACGACCAGGTGTGCGTCGTGATGGTCTCCTCCCACTCCCAGCGCGAGATGGTCGAAGAGTGCCTTCGGTCGGGCGCAGAGTCGTACCTCGTCAAGCCGGTCCGGACCGAGGACCTAGAAGCGGAACACCTCCCCATATCTCCGCATATCTCCCCATGTCTCCCCATCTCGCCCTAGAAGACGTGCTCCTGTATCCCGACCCGCGCTCCCGAAGACACGTCTGCGGCTGTATTCGGCCGTATTCAGCGGCGTTCCGCTGTATTCGTACCCCTCGTCTCCACGCGATGCTCTGAACACGCTGCGCGATACCGTCCTCCCGCCCCGAGGTCGGCGCAATTATCACGTAGGCTCGAGGACGTCGCGCGGCTGTGGCAGGTCTCTCTCGAGGTCTCGAGGTGGGGTATCCTGGTCCCGCCATAACGGGAGGACACGTGCTCTGTGGCAGGTTGTGATGCGGCACCACCTCTCCGCCCTCTCGCGGCGCCAGGCGCGGCAGCGGGCGGAGATGGCGCGGCTGCGCGCCGAGACGCTGGCGGAGCGGGAGCGGGTGCGGCGGGAGAGGCTCGAGCTGGAGCAACAGGCGCGAGAGATGGCCGAGATGCAGTCGAGATGCAGTCGAGATGCAGTCGAGATACAGTCGAGATGCAGTCGAGATGCAGTCGAGATGCAGTCGAGATGCAGTCGAGATGCAGTCGAGATGGGCGGGAGGAGAGGCTCGAGCTCGTGCAACAGTCTGCTGCTCGACCGGCGGCGGATTGCAATCTCGGATCGGGTCGGGCAGTGCTCGGGCGGCGCCCGGATAGTCTGCTGCCTGCCGGGCATCGCCGGCTTGTTGCGAGCGGTTGAACGATGAGCAATATACATTGCCTGTTCAATGCCGGGAAGGAGCGGTTGAATGAGAGCGGTATTGCCTGTTCAATGCAGGGGGGAGGCGGTTGCATGATGAGCAGTATCATGATGAGCAGTATACGGGCTGCGTGCTCAGGTGCTGCTCGACCGGCAGCGCGAGCGGATGCAGCAGCAGATGATGCGGATGCTGCACTCGCAGATGCGACAGTACTGGCAGCTCGCGCAGACGGGCAACGGCGTCTCATGATCAACTAGCACTGAATCAGGGACTCATTACTGGCAGGCAGCTCGCGCAGACATGCAACGACCTCATCCTCCACGCCTCGCGCCAGGCGTGCAATGCAGAGTAGTCTTGCCGGCTAGCTGCTGCTACTAGAGAGGCGTGCAATGCAGAGTAGTCTTGCCGGCTAGCTGCTGCTACTAGAGAGGCGTGCAATGCAGAGTAGTCTTGCCGGCTAGCTGCTGCTACTAGAGAGGCGTGCAATGCAGAGTAGTCTTGCCGGCTAGCTGCTGCTACTAGAGAGGCGTGCAATGCAGAGTAGTCTTGCCGGCTAGCTGCTGCTACTAGAGAGGCGTGCAATGCAGAGTAGTCTTGCCGGCTAGCTGCTGCTACTAGAGAGGCGTGCAATGCAGAGTAGTCTTGCCGGCTAGCTGCTGCTACTAGAGAGGCGTGCAATGCAGAGTAGTCTTGCTGGCTAGCTGCTGCTACTAGAGAGGCGTGCAATGCAGAGTAGTCTTGCCGGCTAGCTGCTGCTACTAGAGAGGCGTGCAATGCAGAGTAGTCTTGCCGGCTAGCTGCTGCTACTAGAGAGGCGTGCAATGCAGAGTAGTCTTGCCGGCTAGCTGCTGCTACTAGAGAGGCGTGCAATGCAGAGTAGTCTTGCCGGCTAGCTGCTGCTACTAGAGAGGCGTGCAATGCAGAGTAGTCTTGCCGGCTAGCTGCTGCTACTAGAGAGGCGTGCAATGCAGAGTAGTCTTGCCGGCTAGCTGCTGCTACTAGAGAGGCGTGCAATGCAGAGTAGTCTTGCCGGCTAGCTGCTGCTACTAGAGAGGCGTGCAATGCAGAGTAGTCTTGCCGGCTAGCTGCTGCTACTAGAGAGGCGTGCAATGCAGAGTAGTCTTGCCGGCTAGCTGCTGCTACTAGAGAGGCGTGCAATGCAGAGTAGTCTTGCCGGCTAGCTGCTGCTACTAGAGAGGCGTGCAATGCAGAGTAGTCTTGCCGGCTAGCTGCTGCTACTAGAGAGGCGTGCAATGCAGAGTAGTCTTGCTGGCTAGCTGCTGCTACTAGAGAGGCGTGCAATGCAGAGTAGTCTTGCCGGCTAGCTGCTGCTACTAGAGAGGCGTGCAATGCAGAGTAGTCTTGCTGGCTAGCTGCTGCTACTAGAGAGGCGTGCAATGCAGAGTAGTCTTGCTGGCTAGCTGCTGCTACTAGAGAGGCGTGCAATGCAGAGTAGTCTGCTGGCTAGCTGCTGCTACTAGAGAGGCGTGCAATGCAGAGTAGTCTTGCCGGCTAGCTGCTGCTACTAGAGAGGCGTGCAATGCAGAGTAGTCTTGCCGGCTAGCTGCTGCTACTAGAGAGGCGTGCAATGCAGAGTAGTCTTGCCGGCTAGCTGCTGCTACTAGAGAGGCGTGCAATGCAGAGTAGTCTTGCTGGCTAGCTGCTGCTACTAGAGAGGCGTGCAATGCAGAGTAGTCTTGCCGGCTAGCTGCTGCTACTAGAGAGGCGTGCAATGCAGAGTAGTCTTGCCGGCTAGCTGCTGCTACTAGAGAGGCGTGCAATGCAGAGTAGTCTTGCCGGCTAGCTGCTGCTACTAGAGAGGCGTGCAATGCAGAGTAGTCTTGCCGGCTAGCTGCTGCTACTAGAGAGGCGTGCAATGCAGAGTAGTCTTGCGGGCTAGCTGCTGCTCCTAGAGAGGCGTGCAATGCAGAGTAGTCTTGCCGGCTAGCTGCTGCTACTAGAGAGGCGTGCAATGCAGAGTAGTCTTGCCGGCTAGCTGCTGCTACTAGAGAGGCGTGCAATGCAGAGTAGTCTTGCCGGCTAGCTGCTGCTACTAGAGAGGCGTGCAATGCAGAGTAGTCTTGCTGGCTAGCTGCTGCTACTAGAGAGGCGTGCAATGCAGAGTAGTCTTGCCGGCTAGCTGCTGCTACTAGAGAGGCGTGCAATGCAGAGTAGTCTGCTGGCTAGCTGCTGCTACTAGAGAGGCGTGCAATGCAGAGTAGTCTTGCTGGCTAGCTGCTGCTACTAGAGAGGCGTGCAATGCAGAGTAGTCTTGCCGGCTAGCTGCTGCTACTAGGGAGGCGTGCAATGCAGAGTAGTCTTGCCGGCTAGCTGCTGCTACTAGAGAGGCGTGCAATGCAGAGTAGTCTGCTGGCTAGCTGCTGCTACTAGAGAGGCGTGCAATGCAGAGTAGTCTTGCTGGCTAGCTGCTGCTACTAGAGAGGCGTGCAATGCAGAGTAGTCTTGCCGGCTAGCTGCTGCTACTAGGGAGGCGTGCAATGCAGAGTAGTCTTGCCGGCTAGCTGCTGCTACTAGAGAGGCGTGCAATGCAGAGTAGTCTTGCCGGCTAGCTGCTGCTACTAGGGAGGCGTGCAATGCAGAGTAGTCTTGCCGGCTAGCTGCTGCTACTAGAGAGGCGTGCAATGCAGAGTAGTCTTGCCGGCTAGCTGCTGCTACTAGGGAGGCGTGCAATGCAGAGTAGTCTTGCCGGCTAGCTGCAGCTACTAGAGAGGCGTGCAATGCAGAGTAGTCTTGCTGGCTAGCTGCTGCTACTAGAGAGGCGTGCAATGCAGAGTAGTCTTGCCGGCTAGCTGCTGCTACTAGAGAGGCGTGCAATGCAGAGTAGTCTTGCCGGCTAGCTGCTGCTACTAGAGAGGCGTGCAATGCAGAGTAGTCTTGCCGGCTAGCTGCTGCTACTAGAGAGGCGTGCAATGCAGAGTAGTCTTGCCGGCTAGCTGCTGCTACTAGAGAGGCGTGCAATGCAGAGTAGTCTTGCTGGCTAGCTGCTGCTACTAGAGCTGCTACGAGTGAGACCAGTCTCCCCTCGCGCCGCGCCAGGGCGTGTTCCTCTGCATGTCGCGAGATTACCCGAGACTTCACGAGATTAACCGAGATCAAGCCGAGCAGGGCGTGTTCCTCTACATGTCGCACAAGTGCAAGCGGCTGCTCGGCTACGCGCCGACCGAGCTCTCCTCCTCGCGCGCTATGATCGGCACCATCCGAGATGAGCCGAGATATGCCGAGATGGGCCGAGATGAGCCGAGGTGAGCCGAGAGAGGGGAGGTTGGTGTGAGCAGGCACCATCCACCCGGACGACTTGGCCGAGCTGCGTGCGCTGGTGGCGCGCGCAGAGGCGAGGGAGGAGGAGACGAGGGCGGCGGAGGGCGAGAAGCTGACGCTGCGGGTGCGAGACAAGTCGAATGGGTACGTGCCGCTGCGGCTGCCGATGTACCCCGTCGCCGAGCCGGGCGAGGTCCGGTCTGTGATTGGCGCGCTGCCGCGGCTGCACACGATCTCCAGCCCGAGATCGGGGGCGGGCCGGGCGGAGCTGGTGGCGGCGCCGGGCTGTGAACGGCGCCTCTTCACGGCCCCATGCTGTGAGCAGGTTGGCGGGCTGACTGATGAGGAGCCGGGGGGCGTGAGCGAGGCGGAGAGGGAGGGCAGGCTTTGCGCGCCGGCGCCGGCGGAGGAGAGCCAGCTCTCGGAGACAGTCTGCTGTCGTTCTATTCGTTGTCAGCTGGCGTTGATTACCCACAGGAGGACCAGCAGCAGCGGCTCGTCTCGTCCTCTCGCCGGTCCGTCTCCTTGCCGCGGCTGCTGACCGTCCATTCGATTTCGTTCACGTTCACCGTCCTCACCGCAAACGACGAAGGTCCGTCTCGCTGTCGCGGCTGCTCGCCGAGGCCTTCTCGACAATCTCAGAGGCGGGAGGTGTAGCCGAGAGGCGGCCGAGAGGCGGCCGAGAGAGCCTTTCCGACCGCCTCAGAGGTGCGGAGCGGCGGGGTGTGGACGGCGTCTCTTCACACCGCCTCCCGCCGTGAACAGGCGGAGGAGACTCGGGCGGATCGCGAGGGGAGGAGCGGCGAGGGGGCGGAGCAGGGCGTGGTGGCGGCGCAGCTGCCGAGCATTCTCTTTGAGCGCGCGCAGCGGTCGCAGGCCGGAGGAGCGGACGAGACGGAGACAGCAGTACTTGACTCAGACGAGAGGAGTGATGAATTGATTCGCAGGCCGGAGGAGCAGACGAGACGGAGAAGGCGGAGGCGGAGGCGGGGGCGACGGAGTGCGCAGTCGAGGCGCCTGCGCCGCACCAGAAGCGCGCTGAGTCTGGCCATCTCGAGGCGGGGAGGGAGGCGGGGCGGGAGGCGGAGGAGGAGTCGGAGGCGGATCGAGCCGCGTCTGGCGGAGGGATGAAGGACGGCAGGGCGGCGGGCGGTGGGAGGGGGCGGGGGCGGGGGCAAGGCGTGCAGCTCCCCTTCAGCCCTCCGCAGCAGCTGCCGCAGCGCGACGCTCGGCGGCTAGAGGCGGAGTGGCACGACTTGCTCAATCAGTTCGAGGCGCGGAGATATGGGGAGATATGGGGAGATATGGGGAGATCGCACCTCAACCAGTTCGAGGCGCCCGCCGCGCAGTGCTTCGATTCGTCGGCCGCCTTTCTTTTTCACGGCGCTGTACACTTCCCAGGCGCCCGCCGCACAGTTCGTCGACTTCCAGACAGTCGTCGACGGCGACGCGCAGCCGCGGGCGGGTCGGCGGGCTGCGACCGGCGTCTCTTCACGGCGGTGCGGGTGTGAACAGGCGACGCGCAGCCATGGGCGGGCGAGGGGGGCGAGGAGAGCGCCGCGAGCGATTCGCCCTCGGGAGAGGCGCCCACACTTGCGCCGACTTCGGCGACGGCAGTGGGGGCGGCGGGGAGGGCGGCGGAGCGGAGGCGGAGCCGCGAGCTGACTCAGGCGGCGCTGCAGGCGCGGGAGGGGGAGGCGGCGAGCGCACGACTGGCGGAGGCGACGCTTGCGGAGGGTCGCAAGGTCAAGGAGGCGAGGGAGAAGGGCGCGGCGTCCGCCCCCTTTGATTGGTGAGCGACAATGGTTGGCCACCGGTGACTAGGCGAGGGAGAAGGGCGCGACGTCTGCGCTCGCCACGCTCGCGGCGCCCGTCGAAGAGGGCTCTCGCTGTGACGAGGCGCCGTTCACAGCTCGGTGCGTGTGTGTGGACAGGCGCCCATTGAGAAGGCGGGAGGGCTCGGCGTCTGCCGCAGCGGCGGCGAGGGCGAGACGCTTGCCGTCGGTGTCCATGACATGTCCGTGACATGTCCGCGACATGTCCGTGACATGTCCCGCAGGCGAGACGTCTTCAGTCGGCCGGCTGAGGCTGGAGCTGCTGCAGCGCTACTTCGTCAGGAGCCGCGAGGAGGGCCAGTTCTCCCCGCTCGGCGAGGGTTTAGCCGAGACACACCCGAGGCGTAGCCGAGGTGGTGGCCGAGGACCAGCTCGCCTCCGCTGGCGCCGCCGCGTGACACGGCGTTGACGCCGTCCTCTCTTCCGTTGCCGTCGATGAGTCACCGAGTCCGCCACCAGGCGCCGCCGCGTACCGCGTGCCTGTCGACGTGGCGTCTGCCGTTGTGGCGCTGCGCTCGCCGGGCGCAAAGGTGGGCGGCCTATCAGTGCTTATTCAACGATGCCGATTGCATTGCATCCGATCAACACGTGGCAGCTGCACTAACACGCCAGCACTGCTTGCGGTGACGATGCACTACGGTCGCACATCTCTTCGGCGGATGCATACACACTGGTTGGCAACTCGGGTGCATCTCGGCGGATGCACACATTGGTTGATTCTCAAGGTGGACGACGGCTCGGCGTGTGGCTGGCCTCCGCTCCACCTGGCGCTGCTGCGGGGCGAGTCACACCTGCAGGTGGTGCAGCTGCTGCCCAGCCGTCGTGTCAAGAGGCGCTCTTCACACGGCACGGCTCAGTGAGCAGGTGGTGCAGCTGCTGCTCGCCTCTGGTTGCAACGCGACCGACCCGCCCGCGCGGCTCGAATACGCCACTCCGCTGATGCTTTGCGCCGAGGGTCAGCTGGGCCAGGCGGCAGAGCTGCTGCTGCTCTGTTTGCCCCCGAGCCAGCTCGAGGCTGCTGCAAACGTCCGCTCGCAGGCCGCCGGCACTCATGAGCCATTCATCAATTCATCAGTCGATAGTCCGCTCAGATCGGCCTCACCCATGAGTGCGATTGGTCGGTCAGTCACCGATGAGTGCGTGTGCCGCCTCTTGATGCCAGCTTTCCCCCGAGCTCTCTTCACACCCCTCGGCCACTGCCTTGCACGAGGGCGTTTTCCTCGTCTCGGTCTCCCTAGTGACGACTCATTCCCCAGCCACTCGTGAGCAGTGCTTGCCCGTTGGCGTCGTAGGAGGGCGTCCCCCTCGTCTCGGTCTGCGCGCAGTGGGCATCCGACGAGGCAGCGGCCAAGGTCTGCCGCAGGCTCGTCGAGTGCCGCGCCTTCTGAGACATTTCAGAGACACTTCCGAGACATTTCCGAAGGTCTGCCGCAGGCTCGTCGAGTGCCGCGCCGACCCGAGCTGCCGCTCGCGCGCGGGGCTCTCGCCGCAGGCCTCTCCGAGACACTTTCCGAGTCACTTCCGAGACACTTTCCGAGACACTTCCGAGCCACTCCCGCCCTACCGGACCTTTCCCGGACCTTTCCTGAAACCTCTCCTGGACCTCTCCTGGACGGCTCGCCGCAGGTCATGGCGGCGCGCTCGGGCAACGCGGCGACGGCGGCGGCGATCGCGCAGCTGGCGGCGAAGGCGACGCGTCTCCCCTTTGGTCCAGCCCAGACCTCCTCTCCTCGTAGGCGCTCGCGCAGCTGACCGAGAAGCTCACCGACGGCGCGCGGGAGGGGCTCGACGCGGCGGCCGCTGGCACGCCTCCAGTGCAGCGGTGCGGGGTGGAGAGAGAGAGAGCCTTCCCTGACCCTTCTTTGGAACGATCCCCCGTGCAGGCCAGCCGCCGGTGGTTCGAAGAGCGACCCGTCGAGGCCGCGGCGGGAAGAACAAGAGCTGAGCACGCACGCCGGGGCGGAGTGGCAGTCTTTGTGGCGTTTCGGCGTGGTCTTGCCAGCCTGGTGAGGGGCGGGGTGCCGAGGCATCGTCTCACCATGCGTGAGGTCTGACGCTCTTCCTCCAGATCTGAGACGGGGCCGGGTGAGAGAGAGAGAGAGAGAGGGAGCCGAGCGAGCGGTATGATGACGTTCTCACACGGCTCTGACACTAGAGAGCTTCCCTCTACGTAGCTGTGGTGCTCGTGACTTTGCTCGTGCTGTTGACGTTGAGAGAGCTCCGGCGGCCCGCGCGCATGCGGCGTGCTGCAACATCTTGCCGTTTAGTCATCGTGTATTTTTTTGACATTGTTTCAAAGCGGGCTCGCGGTGGAGCGCGTACGGCGTAGCACAAGCACAACACACCGACATACGTTGCCGATGCCTAAATATCAAGCGACTATATCTCCCTCTCTCACACCCACCACTGACAGCACACCAGTAGGCCGCAACACACGCACTTACTGGGAGGGCGGCCGCCCGGCGAAGGGCTCGCCGAGCTCGCTCGCCGCGCGCGCGCAAGCGCCGATCAGGTTCGCCAGCTCCGTCGCCTTTGCAGGCTCGGCTGCCCGCGACAGCTCGTCCGTCGCCCAGACGATCTTTGCGTGCAGCGCGACGGCGGCGCCGCTGCTGGTGTGGGCGCGGGCCGGCATCGGGGAGGCGGCCGCGAGCGGAACGGGACCGCCGCCCGGCGCCTGCGCCGCGTCCCGCATCCCCGCCGCCAGCGCGGCCAGCGCTGCAGACTGCAGGTCAGCAGACTTTCCGGGCGGCGCGTGCGGGCTCTGATGGCTGCTCGCGGCCTGCGCGAGGCCGGGCAGATCTCGCTGCGAGGGAGGATCCTCGCCAGGCGCGGTTCCAAACAGCTCCGCCATTTCGGCGTTGATCTCGTGGATCGCAGAGTCCAGCTCGGGCCCTTCGGGCGGCTTTGCGAAGGCGTGTTGTGCGCGGACGCGCGGCGTCGGGCACGAGGCAGAGGCGGCGAGGAGAGGCAGTCCGCGATCCGCTCGGTGGAGCAAGGTTGAAGAATGGCGTCGGAGCAGCGCTGCCGCGCTGCTGCGGAGTAGCGGCGAGCCGACGCCGCGCATCGTTGTAAACAAAAAGAAAAAAATCAGTCCCGGAAGAGGAGTTTGTGTTTATACGGTGCCTCGATGCGCCACGACGGCGATCTCCACGCATTGACCACACCTCGCGGAAGATGCGCCCACGAATAGAGTTTTACAACAATAGAGACCAGGTGTTAGGTTAGGCAGGAAGGTGAAGAAGGTAAGGTAAGGTAAGGTAAACTTCTCCACACACACGAGGTGGTGGGGCAAGGGGGGGCGACCCTCGCGTCTCCACGTCTAACGACAGGAGCCCCACGGCATTTAAAGTGCAAGGCCCGGTGCGCGTGGGTGAGCGGTGTGTGTGTGTGTGTGTGTGTGTGTGTGTGTGTGTGTGTGTGTGTGTGTGTGTGTGTGTGTGTGTGTGTGTGTGTGTGTGTGTGTGTGTGTGTGTGTGTGTGTGTGTGTGTGTGTGTGTGTGTGTGTGTGTGTGTGTGTGTGTGTGTCACGTCACTGCATCCTCTGCCGGTTCCTCCCGTCGCCTCTTCTTTGTTCGAATGTTTTTCAATCCATCCTTCACGAAGCCCTCCCATGTAGCTAGCGTTCTTGGCGAATGTCTCGAGGTGGCCAGCAGGCGCTGTCTGCTCGCGGCCTGTGCGGGTCGCTCGTCCTCCTCGCGCTTCTTTCGTCCTCCCGTCCCTCCCCTCCACCATGGCCTCCTCGGCACTTCTTTCTCCATCCGCCTCGCCCTGCCTTTTCGTATCGTGCCGTTCGCCCTCCATTCGGTGACCTCCATGGCTGTCCGACTCTGTTTGGGTGGCGCTCTCGATACCGTTGCGTCAACCTCGACGTCGCTGTCGCCCTCCCCGTCCCCGTCGTCGCCCGTGCCTCGGTTCGCGTCATTGGTAGCGTTTCCGTTGCCCCCTCGTGTTCCGCCGTCGCCCTCTCTGCTCTGGCCGTTCGCGATTTTGCTCCTCCTGCGTGTCGCCCCTCCGTCTCCCCTTCCTTCGTCGTCATCGTCGCTGTCGCGAAAGCCCTCCGGTCCCTCGATTCCCTCGTCTATCCCCTCCGCTGCGTCGTCCCAGTTTATATCCTCATCCTCTGTGCGCGTTGTCGTTCCCTCCCCTTCTCTATCGTTGTCGCCTCCGTCGACTGCGGCGCTGTCTAAGGTGAAGAACAGCCAGTCTCGGACCAGGCTCGGACTTCGCACAGAGGGCACGCGAGATACGACCGTGCCCGGCCGTGCTATTAAAACGGCTCGGCTCTATAATGGCTGCAACCAAGTCACATACCCGACAGAGTTACCTCACCACCACGCGATGGACGCACGACGCCGCAATCGCCTCTCCGAGACACACCTCGAGAACCTTGCAAGCGACCTAGGCCCAGTAGTGTAGACTGCCGGTGCGGATGGCCTCCCACCGCATCGGCGCGCGCGTCGCGGGCCTCTCGCCAGCGCAGCTGTGCGCCATCATCGAGGCGCAGGCGGGCGCGAGCGACGCCGCGCTGCGCGTGGCGGAGGAGCACGCCGCTCGGCTCGTGGAGCAGCCCGAGTGGGTCCTCTCCGAGGTCCTCCTCTCGCCGGACCTCGCCCCGCACATCCTCGCCCAGCTGCCGACCAAGGAGCACGCCGCCAAGGGGACGTGCCGCGCGTGGCGCCGCGGCTGGAAGGAGACGCTGAAGAAGCGCGAGAGGCCGCGCATGGTCGTGATCGGCGGCGACAACAACGATGGCGAGCGTCTCAACTCGCTGGAGCGGTACGACGCGTCAACGAATGAGTGGGAGGAGGAGGCTGTCGCGCCGATGCCGACGGCACGAAGGTCTGTCGGCATGGCGGTGCTCGGTGGCAAGCTCTACGCGGCGGGCGGCATGAATGAGGCTGACCTCGAACCTTCCAACCTGGTGGAGCGGTACGACTTTGAAAGGAAAGCGTGGGAGAAGGTGGCGCCGCTGGCAGGGGTGCGGCTTAACCACGCCGTGGCGGCGCTCGACGGCGAGCTCTACGCTGTGGGAGGCGAGTCCGACGGCGACGTCTTCACCTCCGTGGAGCGGTACGACCCCGCGACGAACGCGTGGGAGGCGGTGGCGCCGATGGCAGCGGCGCGGCGGGCTCACGCCGTGGCGGTGCTCGACGGCAAGCTGTACGCGGTGGGCGGACAGGGTGCCGGCTTCAACAACGACGTCCCCCCAGCTCGGTGGAGCGGTACGACTTGGGTACGAATGCGTGGGAGGCAGTGGCTCCGATGGTGACGGCGCGACGCGATTCTATCGCAGTCTGGATGTAGTGGAGTGGGCTTAGTCTTAGGCGCGGGTGCGGCGGCGGGCGGGTATCGCTTCTCCCAGCGCGAGGACGGCGGGGTCTCTGTCAGATCTTTTTCCACTGTTCTCATTGAATACGCACAGAGCACAAGCTCGCGCGAGCCATGCACGTGTTTATTATCGTGATCAACTAATCCTGTTGCGGCCCTTACTCACATGGCACTTCAGCCAAAACGCTGCTAAGACATCGCAGCAAAGCAACGACGCCCTAGAGGCACTCTCTTGCCCCCAGAGCCCCAACCGTTTCTTCCTTCCCCTTGCCCCTTCCCCGACCGCCCCCTGCAGCTCCTTAGCGAGCGAGGGCGCGGCTCCCCGCAGCCGACACGCGAGCTCGCCCCTCTTGGCTATCTTCGCTCGAGGGACGATGCGCCACGGAGGCGATCTCCACGAGCGCATTGAGCACACCTCGCGCAACATGCGCCCACGGATAGAGACCAGCACGTAGCAGCGTCCACGCCACAGCCCTCGCCTTGCGCAAGCATCACAGCAGCGACGGCGAGGCCGCGGGTGCCGCCACCGCCGCGTTCATGTCGATGAATGGCGGCTCCTCGCTCGGCGCCTAATCAGTCACCCTCTCGGCTGTCCCTCGGCGAATCGATGCACCAAGAGGGAGGGCCGTCGCCCGCGCCGGCCGCAGCGCGGGCGCATCAAAGTACGACGCCGCCGGCTGCTCCGCGCCAGCTGCCGGCGCGGCGGGCGGCGGCTGCTGCTGCAGAGGCGGCGGCGGTGGCTGCTGCAGAGACGGCGGCGGCGGCTGCTGCTGCAGAGGCGGCGGCGGCGGCGGCTGCTGCTGCTGCTGGGGCGGCGGCTCAACCTCTTGTGGCGGTGATGTCTGCGGCGGCGGCTGGTACTGCGGCTGCGGCGGCGGCGGCTCAGCCGGCTGGTGGTACTGCTGCTGCTGCTGGTACTGCTGCTGCTGCTGGGGCGGCGGCGCGGGGGGCGGCTGGTACT